AGGCACCAAATATATCTATGCGTCTATTAATAGTATGTCTTACACAGATACACACTGCACATGCACCAAGTATATCTATGCGTCTATTACTAGTATATCTCACACAGGTACACACATACACACTGCATATGTACCAAGTATATCTATGCGTCTATTAAAATTATATCTTACACAGGTACACACATACACACTGCATATGCACCAAGTATATCTATGCGTCTATTAATAGTATATCTTACACAGGTACACACATACACACGGCATATGCACCAAGCATCTCTACGCGTCTATTAATAGTATGTCATACACCCACCACATTGCAACAGACATATCTTCCCTTCTATTCAAAGTATGTCTTGGGGGTGTATACGTACTCGTTGAGCATTGGCGCTCGCATGCACATACACTGTGGGGCGTATCTATTCACATACGACATAGACAACTAGACTAGTCTATCAGATTATTGCTCAGCACTGGCAGCAGTACTGGTGTGTTTACCACTTCCTTGATCCTGTACCTACTTACAAACCCTAAACCCTGAAGCCAGAGTTTTTGTATGTTGGATATCATATATTACACAACACGTCGTAAGACACTGGCATCCATCGTATAAGTTTGTTAGATACTGTGTATGCATAATAAACTGTGTTTCTCTTACCCACTTACGTTAATTATTTGCCGACTTACGTTATTCTTTTATATACTTTCGTTAATTCTTTACCTACATACGTTAATTATTTACCGGCTTACGTTATTCCTTTTACGTACTTTCGTTAATTTTTACCTATGTACTTGCTTCGCTTCTTCACTTACCTGCGTTAATCCCGCACCTCTCCTTAATCCTTTTCCTACTCGCTCTTCTTCTATACCCTCTTACCATACCCCTTTACCTCCTTCATACTCCCCCCTTGCCTACCGCCCTTAGGTCCACCTACCAAACGAGTGCCACCCACTCTCAGCCGACAGTGATCAACCAATGGCCGATCGCACACGTGTGTACTTTGTGTGTGGACAGGCAATGACGGACGGCAGAACGACTGTACGCGGAGTGTACCATGCCACACAGCACTTCCTGGCGAAGGCCATCCCAGACGAACAGCGCCTCATGGGCAGTGGCAAGCGGGTTGGTATGTACATGCGTGTGTGTGTGTGTGTGTGTGTTTATGTGTGTGTGCGGAGTGTACCGTGCCACACAGCACTTCCTGGTGAAGGCCATCCCAGACGAACAGCGCATCATGGGCAGTGGCAAGCGGGTTGGTATGTACATGTGTGTGTGTGTGTGAGAGTTAATGTACATGTGTGTGTTTGTGTGTGTGTTTATCTGTGTGTGTGTGTGTGGTGGGTGGGTGAGTGCGTGTCTGCAACCCGGCCCTAATGAACAGGGCAAAAGATTGATAAAGTCGTGATCCTAGTTGCCGAGTGCATTGTCACTTAGAAGTTGGAGCCTTCAACCCTGTCACGTGCGATAGTTATTTTTTATTTGGGTACATGTAACACTGTACATTGTGGTACAGACCCTTTGTTTGTTGTGCGGAGGTTTTGGGTCTGTGAGGTTGTGTTGTGTGCTTGAGGTGTGTTCAACCAATTATTCTGTCCAAGGCCTTGTGTGCATAACATATGTATTGGGAGAGTGTTCTAGTCATGCTACATACCAGCAGTTTAATTTATGATATGCTTAATTATCCCGATTGCCGATTGAACCATTAGTTCTGTCAAGGACCTTGTGTACTTCACATCTGTATGAGGAGAGTGTTACAGTCATGTTACAGACCAACTAAACACGTTCTTTTACTTCTCATTCGGATGTTCTTCACCGCATCTGTATGTGTTTCTCTCGCTATCCCGTTGATTGTGCCCATATCGTCACTTACGCCTAAGTAGGTATCCTGGGCTGCAGGGTTTCATTAGGGTTTTAGCACTAGAGTTTTAAGTTTTATCCGATTGCAACTGTTGCCCTAATATCACATGGATGGTTCGTTCGTATTTAAACCAATGTGGCACTGTCTCTGGCACATGCCCCCATAGTTTTCGGCTGAACTTTGTCCGTGCGGTTTGGATCGCAAGACGCTCACATCGCACTTTCACTATATCTGAGCCTAAACTCTATCTGTACCCCTAAACCCTAAGACCCTAAAACCCTAAAAACCGAATCGTCCTGCTGATTCACTATCTTTGTTGGAAATGTCGAACAACTGAGACTTTAAAACAACCACAGACCCAACCCACGCCCTGATGATACTCAGTCTCACACACACCCCACTGCTAGGTACTGTGGTCACATATGGTACCACCTATATATCAGTCTGATACGCACGCTACTTCTAACCTCTACATCCATTGCACACATCAAAACACTCTCTCCCATACACCACTGACAGTTACTGTGGTTACAAATGGTAACAAACATGTGACTGTCTGATACGCACGCTACTACTAACCACTACATACACTGCACATATCAACACACTCTCTCCCATACACCACTGACAGCTCCTGTGGTCACATATGGTACCACCCATGTGACTGTCTGATACGCACGCTACGACTATCCACTACATCCACTGCACACATCAACACACTCTCTCTCACACAGTGCTGTGGCTGCCGCTGCTGAGTGCGGGCGATGGGGGGCTTAACCAACACTATGTACTCAATACCATGCTCAATGCCATTGGTAACTACGCCAGCTCAGAAGGCTGGGCAGGAGTGGTCCATATTAAAATATCGCTCGGGTCAAAACCTGAGAATTTAGGTATGTTATGGAGTCAACGTCGTCCGAGAATTTTGGTATGCGGTCGAAATCTGAGAATTTAGCTATGTTTTTGGGGTCAACCCCTGATAATTGATGTATGCTTTGGGGTCAAAACCTGAGAATTTCGATATATTTTGGGGTCAACCCCTAGTAATTGAGATATGCTTAGGGGCCACGAATGCGTGTGCGGCTTAGCTGCTTGGAGGGTGTGTCTATGCAGAGCCTATCCATGGGGTGCGTGCACTTGTGTGTATGATCATATCCCGTTAATGGCTAGTTAGCTATCATTCTTATCATTCTTCGCACCCAGGTTACAACATGCAGGTCTTGTATCCGTAGTAGTAGTGTCACTGTTGTCCGTCCGTCGCACGCTTCTTGAACCTGATATGTTGTTATATCAACACGTATATACACACTTATAAACACAATTCTACACTTATATGCACACTTATATGCACACATATAAACAGATTTCTACACTTATAAACAGATTTATACACTTATATTTACACTTATATATACACTTATGTACACACTTGTACACTTTTATACACACCTATATCCATACTTATACACACTGATATACGCATTTCCACACTTCTATACACACTTATATACACATTTTTACTCTTATATACACATACATATTCATACTTATACACACTTGGTGTACGCCCCATCTCGCACTGTAGGCCAATCCATTCCCATCCGTTACGATGTGATGACTGGGAGACTACCTGTCGGTGATATCCTGTCCAGAGGTTCAAAAGGGAAGATGGAGTTCACCTGTGTGGCCCATGACACACGGCGTGGCTGGATAGTGCAGCATGTGCAGATTGACATCAGAGGCACCTTCGAGCACCTCAGAGTGGCCATGGGGTTGGACGAATTACCGTGTATGTGGTGGTTTGTACGCTCTCATTATTGTCTGTAGGACTCTTCTATGGTCATACTATTTCTGTAGTAGTCGTCTATGATCACCCGCGTCTTCGCCTAGCCTTCTTGTTCTGCTACTACACGTCTCGTCAAGGCAACCTGCCTATACACCACTAGATACTGGCGTATCGTAGTGTATGGTCTTGTTAATGTATTTATGACCCGCTTTGTTTTCTTACTATGTTTTTTTCTACCCCTCTGTCTTGTTAACGTATTCGTCCTCCCTTTCTTACCCCTTTTTTTTTGGCACTCTGGGATTGGCATAATAATCCTTAATGCAGTCGGCTATCACGCCAATGAGCGGCTGATCGAGTGTGACATAACCGATGGGAAGGTCGTACAATTGCTGGATGTAAGTACAGAACTGTCGTGCAGGATACGCTTCGCTTTTCATAGCAATTTGTGCATGTATGTATTATGTACATATGTATGTATGTATGTATGC